GAGAAGGACCTCCGCATTTGATCTAGCAACTACGCTTTGCCTCTTGCTTCTCCAAGTAACCAAGTTTCCTCCTACGAGCGTACAATAACCGGATATTGATCTTCTGTCATCTAGAGATCCAGCCCAAACCGCGTCTATAAAGGCTTTTATTTGGAGGTGATCATGTTTGGAGAAAAGTCGACCTTTCCCTGGAGCAGACTTCAGATACCGCAAAATGTGAAAGACAACTTGCATATGAGGATCTTGGGGATCATGCATGAACTGACTCTCCAGGCTAACTGAATAGGCTATGTCTGGTCTAGTGTGAGAGAGATAAATGAGTCTTCCAACCAGCCTCTGATATCTCTCCTTATCAATTGATTCTCCAACACCGCTTTGTAACTTGTGATTGCTTTCAATGGACGATTCTGCGAGTTTGCAACCTGTCATACCAGTTTCTTTCATAAGATCCAGAATATACTTCATTTGAGAAATAAAGATTCCTCTTTTGGATCTAGCAACCTCAATTTCCAAGAAGTACTGCAATTTTCCTAGTTCTTTGATCTCAAATTCATGTGCCAACAACTTCTTCAATCGAGACATCTCCTCTTTGTCATCAACATAAACTATGAGAAGAGTGAGTTTACCCGTTTGATGTCTTATGAAAAGGGTGTGGGCAGCATTGCTTTGTTGGTAACCGAATGAGACATTGCTTTGCTGAATCTGTCAAACCAAGCTCTAGGGATTGCTTCAGTCCGTATAAGGCTTTCTTCAATCTGCATACCTTTCCTTGACTCTGTGTAGTATCAAATCCTGGAGGAATCTCCATATACACCTCTTCTTCTAAGTCTTCATGAAGAAATGCATTCTTCACATCAAACTGTTGCAAGTCCCAATCAAGATTAACTGCACAAGATAAAAGAATTCTAACAGTGTTCATCTTAGCAACAGGGGCAAATGTCTCTTGATAATCCACTCCATAAGTCTTGAGTGAATCCCGTTGCCACCAATCTTGCTTTGAATCTTTCAATTGAGCCATTAGCTTTGTGCTTCACAGTAAAGACCCATTTGCAGCCAACCAACTTCTTGTCCGGTGGTGAAGAGACAAGTTCCCATGCCTCATTTTTTGACAAGGCTTTCATTTCTTCAATCATAGCTTGCTTTCATTTAGGATCTGCAAAAGCTTCCCGCCAATTCTTGGGGAATAGGCGCAGAAGAAATAAACAAGGTAAAGGCTCTATAGGAGGGAGACAAAGAATTATAGGAGACAAAATTTGATAAAGGGTGTTTGGTGGTGCTAGAGTTGACTCCTTTTCTGAGAGCAATAGGTTCATCTAACTCATTAGAAAATGTAGATAACTCACCAAGAAGAAGGTTCAACTTCTGTAGATTGCATGATGGCTTCTTCTACTATATTTTTCCTTGAGTAAGTTTTCAAATCAGGCCTATCCAAACACCCAATAGTCTCGCCTGAATTCTTTCTCCAATTTCACTTTTCCCTGTGACAATGTCATCAAGAGGTCCAGTAGTGGAAGTAGGTAGAATCACCTCTTCCTGCTTACTGCTCTCCCCCTGAAGAGGTGATGATGTAATACTGAAATAGGGTTCAGATTCTCGAAAGGTAACATCCATGCTAACAAAAGATCTCCTAGAGGGAAGATGATAACATTTGTAACCTTTCGGTGTCGGAGAATACCTAATGAAAACACACTTTATAGCTCTAGGATCAAGTTTCACAGAATTTCTAGTGTGGACGAAGCAAACACACCCAAACACCTTTGGAGGAACAATATATTCATTCTTACCCTTTAAAGTTTCCAGAGGACTTTGAAAATTAAGGGGTTTAAGTGGCATTTTGTTGATAAGATAGGCAGCCGCTAGAATAGCATCCCCCGGTAAGGTTTTGGTAGATGCATGGTGAACATAAGAAATCTTGCTACTTCTAACAGATGCCTATTTTTTCTTTCAGCGACCCCATTTTGTGCACTAGTGTAAGGACTACTGGTCTGATGGACTATCCCATTGGACTTCAAATAAGCACCAAATCTTTTATCTATGTATTCGCTGCCATTGTCAGTTCTTAAGATTTTTATTTTGGCATCAAACTGAGTACAAATCATCTTATGAAATGATTGAAAACACGAGAAAACTTCACTTTTGGCTTTTAACAAATATACCCAAGTCACCCTAGTGCAACAATCAATTTAAGTAACAAACCATCGACTACCAGACAAAGAAATAGTTTGGGTAGGACATACATCAGAATGAATAGTCATAAACGGAGTTGTGGTTCTATTAATCACTCATAGGATAAGAGTTTCTTGTATGCTTGGCATATTCACACGCATCACAGAACAAAGATTCAAATCGAGTCCTTGAAAACAAATCAGGATATAACTTTTTCAAAACAAAGAATGATGGGTGTCCTAACCGTCTATGCTGTTGTATTATTTCTTGGTTGACATTCTCATTTTCCCCAAAAAGGCTTGACTAGAGTTTCGAATCACATCTAATATATACAAGTCATCACGCAATCTACCACTGCCAATCCTTTTCCCTGTTTGAAGATCCTGAAAAATACAATAATCGGGAAAGAACTCGATTTTACAATTTAGAGCTTTAGTGATGGCACTAACAGATAAAAGATTGATACGGAACTCAGGGACATAGAGCACGAATGATAGTTTAATGTTAGGAGTACAAATGACAGAACCTCTTCCAGAATAGGTGTTAATGAATCATTGGCTATTTTAACATTATCTCCTTTGGGACACGGAGAATAGTTTTGAATGTCTTTAGAAGAGCTTGTCATGTGTCTATTTGCACCAGAATCGACAATCCAAGAATTCAAGTTATCAGCAAAGGCAGTGCCTGATTGCACATGATTGGATGTGGCAACATTAGCGGAGACAAGTTTGGCTAGGAGGCGACAGAGAAGCTGAATTTCATCCGAAGACAAGATTTCTCCAAAAACCGTCTCCTTGAATGTCTCCATATTTCAGCCCAATCAGAAGGAGTTTGTGTTGCAGACAGCTAACAAGAAAGAAAACTCGACCTCTTTGATAAAAAAGGAACCCTAGTGCTGCGAGAGAGATAACTCACCTCAAAAAGGCAGCAATGGCTCTGATACCATATAGATTTTGAGAAGAAGAAAAGGCTTCTTGTATTTATGTGTATGTTTACATCCCATGAGCAAGGGAATTTATACAAAGCTCCTAATGCTAATTAAGGAAATAAAATAAATCTATACAACCAATCCAACAATCAAATTAAATCAAATAAAATCAGATCTCCTAAATATAATCAAATCTCCTGAAATCATGCTAATCAACACTCCTAAATCAAGTCTCCTTGAATCATGCTAATCAACAATTATTTTCCGGCGGGGTTTGCTGGTGTTTGGTCGCCGGAGGGTGTAGGACCCTGTAGTAGTGTTGGTTTTAGCACAACACTGAGGAAAACGTAGGTGAAGCAATAACATCCCTAGAAGTCGCCGGAAATTGACGCGCAACGACTGTCTGGCGGAGGCTCTTTCCCAGATGTTTCTAACGCTGTATATACCATGTGAGAAGTATAGCACGGAAAGTTTTACTAATTATGTCTAAAGTGTTGTACAATGCCCTATTTATATACAGTGATTACATAATAATAGGTATCTACTTCCCGATATGGGACACTATACATTACTAACTATTTAACAATTTATCTGTCATTTCTCTCTACTATTTAACCTTGTTTCATATTCCTAGTGGTATACTTTCCTGCCTAATTAAGAATTCTTTAAGCAATCCTTGCTTTGGTACTTCTGGCGATACTGTTGTTGTACGTATCAAGAAGTGTTTAGATGATTAGATTGTCACAATAAGGGCCTTGTTTTGTTAGTTTCTTTTGTGTGTCCATCTCAAGTTATTTACTATTAATCCTTTAGTTCATAAGAGTTGCTGGCGTCGCATGAGAGAATTCTCTTTTGCAAGGCATGGATGATATAGGAGACCATATTGCAAACTAAAAGTTTTTGCTTGCAAATCTAAAGAAGGGACAAGTCTTTTTTTTTTTTTTGGGTGGGGAGGATTTGAGTCCCTATGAATAAAAAATTCCGAAAACACACTCATTGTCTGGGAACTGCTTGTACTGTTAGCTTTGGTAGTCGGACTATTATTAATATTTTTATTTTCATTGTTATTTATTTTTTATTATTATTATTATTATTATTATTATTACTACTACGGCTACTACTTTCTCTTGATACCGGTGGTGTCCAAGCCAGCTTGGACGCACTTCCATTTTTTCATCTGGTACGTGCTATCTCCCCGTAAATAGATGTATAGGGTAACTTTTCCCACCAAGAGTTAGGCAAACTGGAAGAAATCACCAAGTGTTTTTGATTCGAATCGTGGTCTCCCATTTTTTTTTTCCGTTTCACTTTATTGACCAGTAGGCCACGCCCTTGGGTGCCCTTTGGAGTCGGATTATGTGTGGCTTAGGTTAATGAAAAGATAGTACAGGCAGCAACCAAGTGAATTGTATGCTATAGCTATTGTCACCCATTCAAGTCCTTGCAAATCATATTTACATTTTCCTCATAATCTTTAGGACGGGGTTCTAGGTGATAGTGATACACAGAAATCAAGTTACAACTCTTTATCTTATACGCTTAGTCGAATCAGATTGTTAAATCATATTGGAGGCATATTCATGTATGCTGAGCGACTTATCTCAGTCAGAAGTGCTGCATCGGAAACGATGTCTGACCAAGAGATGAAATATGTAACTCGAGCTCCAAGGCCAGTTTCAATCTGCTTGAAACAATTATAGCATATAATGCCTGTATCAGTTTTATCTATTTGTTTGTGCTAATGTTTATCTGTATACTGCCAGACCTTTATGTATCTTACATCGACCAGTGGTTATATCTTGAGGATATTCTGTCACTTGTGCAAAAGCTGATCTGTAATGCCTCTCTTTTATAGTTAAAAGAATCTTGGTGGTGTGTAAACTTACTTGCATTTATTTGGAAATAGGATCTTGCAGCATCCATTCAAAAAGGGAGTCTGGATTGGGAGCGAGCTTTGCGTATTCTAAAGCATGCTCTTCGTAACACTCCATCACCAGACTGGTGGAGGCGTGTGCTTCTCGTGGCTCCCTGTCACAGGCTTCATGCCCAGGCTCCAACTCCGGGTGCCGTTTTTACGTCGGAAATGGTTTGCGAAGCAGCGATTGAAAGAATTGTTGAATTATTGAAGTTGACTAATTCAGGCAACATTCTCAAACTTCAAGCTCTGCCTGAGATTGTGTTAGCAATTGCCAAATTTGTACTCTGTTTTTCCCTTCTCTTTCTTATGATGTTATTATCAAATATTACTAGTTGGTTAGAGTATTTCCAACATGATGCTTACCTTTTATATCCTGATTAAAAGAGTTGTAATATTTATTGTCTTGTGCAAGTAAATTTTGTTAATCTGATACAGAACAAAAAGTACTGCTTTCCACAGTTGATTCAGAAAGGTCTATCCAAGGGCATGGCATAAAGCAAAGTGCCGATGCTTTGAAAGAAAAGTACAAGAAGACCTGAAAGTGTTTTTCAAAATTGTTGCGCTATATCCGTTTATCTTGTCTAACTTTGACAATAAAATGTGCTGCTTGGTGTTTGCTGTGGGTGAGAAGTGAGAACTGTTCTCCTGGATGTGTGCCTCTAAGGAAAGGTCCTCTTGCATACTTGGTCGCATAATATGTCCGCTCTTAGATATTGTGTGTTTAGTTAGTATATTGTTAACTTTAATGATTTACTCTGCTTCCTCGTAAGTGCTTTCCACCTTTGTAATGGGCTTAGTTTGATAGCTTTTATTTGTTCTTCTTACTTTCTGCAGAAATCAATTGCTGGCAGGAGTGGCTTATCTTCTCAGATATATTCTTTTTTCTCGTGAAAAGTGGATGCGTTGATTTTGTGGAGTTTGTGGACAAGTTAGTATTGCGACTTCAAGAGGGTGATCAACAAATACTTAGGACGAACCATGTTACGTGGTTACTTGCACAAATTATTCGGGTTGAACTAGTGATGAATGCTTTAAATACAGACTCAAGAAAGGTTTTCCATCTTAACTTTATGCTGATCACTTTTTTAAGATAAAGAGGACATAAACTGATTGTACTTTAATACAATCGTTTTGTAGCGACCTTGATGTTTTTGGTGCTAGTTGATTGTTTTTTTTTCCATATTTATCTGTCTCTGGTTTTCGAGATTTCCTAAAGAATGATCGCGTAGTGGGAATGGCCTTCCACCATGGGGTGGTTCCAGTCACCAAGGGGGCAAGTTGGAAAAGCCGTTGTTGGCTCCTTGGAAGTTTTGTGGGTGGGTGGATGGGGGTGGGTTGGGGGAGGGGTGGTTGGGGGTTGAAGTGTACCATAATTTAAAAAGAAAATTCCTCCTCCGGATGCAGAACCAGAAATCCGTCATTGGCAGTTCTCTTCATGTTTAAAAGCATTAGTATCTAATCTTCTTGTACCTTTTCATTTTTGATTTTCTTCTTCCCGCGATTCATTAAGATATAACTTTGAGTAATTAAAGTAAGTTTTTGATTTTTGAGCCAATTGTAGTATCTTTTTGGTGACTCTCACAATTTGCTGTTAGGTGGAGACAACCAGAAAAATTCTTTCGTTCCATAAAGAGGAGAAAAGCTCTGATCCAAATAATCCTCAAAGTATCCTACTTGATTTCATTAGCAGTTGTCAGAACTTGCGCATTTGGACACTAAATACAGCAACAAGAGAATACTTGAATAACGAGCAGCTACAAAAGGGAAAGCAAATTGATGAATGGTGGAGACAGGTTAACAAAGGTACTCCTTTCATTTAACTGTACCAGTTTAAAACATGTTCGTTCATTTCACAACAGATTTTAGATTCAACAAATAATGTGTAAACCAACAACATATCTATTGCCTCTCCCCTACTCTATATTGGCTGCTTTTGTTTTCTGATGTTAAGGTCATTATTTCTTCTCTTTTGGGTCATTATTAATTTCATGTTTTGTCTTCTAATCTTACCAATTCCACCAAAACAATGAAAATGGACTGTGAGCACAGATAACTAGTCAAAACAATAATGCCACTTCTGTTGTATTCAAGTTATTAAGGTGTTAAAACTTTTGGAGTTAGTGTGGCTGAAATCATTTTGCTGAAGGGTTATATCTGATCACCACAAACCTAGGAAGATTCAAGGAAATTGAATTTGAACTATTGAACCCACAAGAACTCCTTGAAACAGGTAGAAAAGCAATAAAAGGGATAGATGGATTAGGAACTAGGCTTGAACAAATACAAGAACTCAACTATAGATTAGTTGAACCCGTGCAAACACTACAATAATCACTAATAAAAGGACAGAAGAAAAAAAGGATCAAATCAGATAATGAATGCAATTAGTAAACCCCAAGCAACAATTACAAGATATATCTAAGAGGGAAGGTAAAGGAACTCATACATGATATTTGAAACAAACCAAATAACAATCAATTACAAGATATAATCCAATGGAGAGGGGAATAAACTCATACATGAATTATGTAACATGTCGTAATTAAGAGGGGTTAATTGGAGAGAAATGGGACAAGCCCCCAACTCACAAAGAGTATTCATTTTCATAATTTCGTAACTAGCTAATGAAAAATAAACTCTAAGATGACTGCTTATACTAAGGGTGTGTTTGGTACGGAAGAAAATATTTTTCAGAAAATATTTTCCAACTTTTCCTTGTTTGGTTGGCTTAAATGTTTTGGAAAATATTTTCTCAATGAATTCATTTTTCTCCAATTGGAGGAAAATATTTTCTCTATCAAGAAGAGGGAAATATTTTCCAAAACTATTTTACAAGCTTTCCCACCTTCTTTTCCTACTCCACTAACCCCCACCCTCAACCCCCGCCCACCCCCAGCCCATAGTGTTTGCCTAAATTATATATTTTCCAAAAAAATATTTTCTACTCACGAATCAAACACTAAAAAACATTTTCCAATTTTTTTTCGACTCGCCAATCTAACATGGAAAACTAGTGATAAATCACTCATTTTCCAGGAATTCATACCAAACACACCCTAAGTCTAATTTAATAGCTAACATTTACCTTATTTAATTACCTTAAACTAGGCCTAAAAAATAGATGGGGCAGAATTACATAAATTTGGCTGACCCAGTAGCCTTGGGGATAGAAGATGATTGCCTGTAATCGTGGATCCTGCCAGCTGCTCCGTCTTCGCAATCGTGGTTCTGCCTCGCGATTGCTGCTTTACAACACACAACGACCACATAAATAGTATTTCACAGAAATTGTTTTTATAATATAATGCTCTATAAGATCAAAATAAATATTCAACAAGAACATACATCTCAACATAATCTACACTTAGGACTTGTCATAAACAGTAGTGCAAAAAATTAATTAAACACCCCGAAGAGTCCACGACAACATGCACAATGCTCCAAATCTATTATGGCAGGATACATAGTGCCCCAAACATATTTCGGTAGCGAAAAAATAATTTCCAATGCCCCAACGCCATGGCATGAAGCCACGCCACACCACAAGTCATATACTCATTCTGTCCCAATTTATGTGGCGGAGCTCAGCTTTCGAGAGTCAAACTTCTTAATTTTGACAGTTAATTCAGACATATAATCTTTAAACTTTTTGAAACAAAATTTACATATTTGGAAACTACATAAAAAGTACTATAAGTCACAATAATTAATAATTTAAAATATCTAAAAGGTATAAAATAATTCCAGCCAAAGAAAAACTCGTTTCACTCTCGAAATACGAATTTCGCCAAATAAATTGGGATGAAGGGAGTATTAAATAATTTTTATATTTCTCAACAAAATAATATACATGCGGCTGGTTCAAATACCACTGATTATGCCAAGCATATGCTCGTCCCAACACATGAGCCAGACAGACAAACACATTTTTAAAATGGGTTTTGAAAAGCAAACATCAAAGCTTAAAGTCTCACCTACCTCAATTCGTGATTAGAGCAACCTTTCCAATAGCCCATAACTATACTATTGGGTCTTTAGATCACCTCAAACTACACAAAAATGGATTTAGAATGGTCAAAATCGTTAGGGTGAACATTCTCTTAATTTGTAGAACAAGACAAACTCGCTGTCTAACATTGACCCAAAAAGTTAAATATGGTCTACGGGACTAAATTCCCGAACCATGTCCACCAACAGATTCTCCTCTGCCAGAGGATTCTAGAACACTAATTTTAATAACGTTTGCCCTTTCAAATTGATGATTTAGGTTGAAGAACTCTAGGACTAGACTTTTCTCAAATTTTCAAAATTTCCCCTATGTTTCTACCATTAAATTTTTTTCATAATCACGTAATAAACTCAAATAAAAGTTTAGGATAATTACCTTGATGCTTTGGGTTGAAATTTCCTATTTTTATCCCCTTTTTCTTTCTCGTTTTCTCCCTTTCTTTTCTTTTATTTGTCTGCATTTTTTCCCCTTTTGCGTTTCTGATTTGGGTCGAAACCAGCGACTCCCTTTCCCCTTTTTCCAAGCTATCCCTTTTCTCTTATTTATTTATTAAATTTTGTCTTCTTTTGATTAAATTACAAAATAACTTCCCCCAAACTAAATTGGGGTTATTACATTTTCCCCCAGTTAAGATGACGTTTGTCCTCGGACGAGTTAAAAGTATACCTAACATCTCGAATAGCTACAGGTACTTGCTTCGCATGTCTGCATAGAACTCCCACGTAGCAACCTCTGTCGGATGTTTGCACCATAACACTTTAACTGAAGCAACCTTCTTCTACCTCAGTTGTCGCATTTGTCTATTAACAGTGGATATTATACCTTCCTCGTAAGTTTGATTTTCATCTAGTTTCACCTCTCGAGTTGAACACTCTCGTCATGGACATATCGTCTAATCACAAACACATAAAACATAGGATGTACAATCAAACGTTTCGATTTCAAAGTAACTCTCAATGCCACTAATCCAATACGACCAATATCTCATACGAATTGTGAGAATGTACAGGAGAAAAATCTATTATTGATATTTTGTTTAATTATAATACAATGAGCCCTATTTATACAATACATATCATACTCCTATTCTATGTGGGACTAGGACTAATTCATATTATTTACATGACTATCTAACACTCCACCTCAAGCCGGTGCATACAAATAGTATGTACCGAGCTTGTTACATATGTAACTAATACGAGGACCAGTAAGGGACTTGGTGAAAATATCTGCAAGATGATCATTCGACTTCACAAACTTTGTAGCAATATCTCCCGAGAGTATCTTTTCTCTGACGAAGTGACAATCAATCTCAATGTGTTTAGTTCTCTCACGGAACACCAGAGTTGATGCAATATGAAGGGCAACTTGATAATCACACACAAGTTCCATCTTGCTGATCTCACCAAATTTCAGCTTATTAAGCAAATGTTTGATCCAAACTAGCTCACATGTTGCCACAACCATTGCTCGATATTCTGCTTCTGCACTAGACCGAGCAACCACATTCTGTTTCTTGCTCTTCCAAGACACCAAATTACCTCCTACTAAAACACAATATCCAGACGTAGAACGTCTATAAGAAGGTGATCCTGCCCGGTCAACATTTGAGTGCCCCAACAATTTGCTCATGGCCTCGATCTTCAAACAATAATCCTTTGCCTGGAGCTGATTTTATATATCGAAGAATGCGGACAACTGCATTCCAATGGCTATCACAGAATCAAGGAACTGATTTCCACACTCACAGGAAAGGAAATGTCCGGTCTAGTTACTATGAGGTAATTTCATTTACCAATCAGCCGCCTATATCTTGCAAGATCGCTAAGCAGGTCCCCCTGTCCTGGTAGAAGTTTAGAATTCGGATCCATAGGTGTGTTAATAGGTCTACAGCTTGACATTCCTGTCCCCTCAAGAATGTTTGAGGCATACTTCCATTGTTGGTTAATTA